GTGGTGGATGCGCCGCAAATGCTGCCCTCACGCAGTGCCAGTCTTCACTGTTTACTGGTGCTGCTAGTGGACGAGCACGCCTGTTGATTGTACTCATAGCGGGGAAGTCTTCTGACGATCCTGCAGGCGGGGGATCAGCTCTTAAGGGAGTCGGCGTTAAGACGATTGTTGTTGGATTAGGAAGTTCCGTTGATCAGGTGCAACTTTCATCTATGGCCTACTCGTCGTCTTACACTTTATCCTGTGCTTCGTTTAGTGCCTTAGCTGGTATAAGTGGGCAGTTAACATCACTGATATCGCAAGGTACTTGACTGCGAATATTTTCCTTTTTAGTGATTAAGGCTTATAGCTGGTATGCTAAAAAGTAACAGAAGGCAAAGATTTTTCCTTAATTACGCAAACTCCGGTTGTCCAAAGCCTGCACAGTTTTATCCACTGGATAAAACGCTATCCAGCGCATAAGTACTATTATTATTCATTCAAATTCAATTCAATTCAATTGTGACTGGCTAAAAGCACACGCATAATTCACCATAACCAGTTACTGATGACCAAATTTGGAATAATTTTGAGTTTAACGAGGAAATGACGTCAAAAATACAGCCTTCTAAAGGTTAATGCACCATTAACCGAGAAGTCCTGGGGACGAGGTTGAGTTGTCTTCGTTGTAAAAACTAAATTGGCGGACACTTCACTCGTTTCAAGAGTAAGAACTACAGCTGGAACTAGGGGAAATAATGGCTAAAAACATAGCAAAAACAGCAAGAAGACAACTCGGAGGGCGACATCTGCTATTTGGAAAATATTTGCGGAGCTGGACAAACCTAAACATGCACTATCGAAGATAAACTGAACATCGATGCAGGTAAGCATGTTTTAGCTACGTTTTTAAACTAGGAATTATTTTGAATGAGCGATTAATGAATTCGGCTTTCGTAGGATATGAAGAATTAAGCAGATCTCGGAGGGGTCGGCCTTAATTCTTCATATCCTACTCAACCACATTCATTAATTGCTAAGAAACAACTGATTGCGCGATCAAAAGAAAGAGATTTACTTATTATCCACCTTTGAACAACTAGCTATGGCCAGTTTAAAATCAACATTCCCTCACGTCCACGCGCGTCTCAAAGAAATAGTCTTTTTATACAATCTTCAGAGTTATTTTACTGCCTAGGACACTAGAAGGTAATAAATGCGATGTTAGTATTTTGATCATCTCATTAGTAATTTTTTTTGCCAACAAAGAGAGGCTACCTCAAAAGTCCAATTTTGAATACAAAATTTTGGTGCAACAGTGTTGAGCATAGCGATTTTTTATTAGAGAATACCGTAGAGTTCTGTCTCACAAAGGTGTTGATTTGTGCTAATGTATTTGAATTTCTCTTGATGTCCAATCCGTAAGTTATTTATTTTTGTTTTAGCTGGGGGAGTTAGTGTCAGCGGCAGTGGTGGAGCAGCAGGAGGAGCAGGAGGAGGTTTGCTAATTATGGCGCTTCCTATTTCTGTAATAAGTTTAAGATATTGATATAACGTTTCAGGCATTTTTTTTTTGCCAAACGTTGTGACAATGGTCATGTTTAATACATTACATTAAAAAATGCGGGTTTATAGCCTTGTAAATTGGAAAAATCAGAGTAGAACGGGCAATATTTACTACCATAAAGGTTCTAAAATTACTTGATTCTTCTAATAATAGCCCACAGTTCTCCTTGTTATATTTTAGGTTCATGTGATCTGGCCTTTATGCTTGACGCGTCAGGTAGTATCCAAGGCGAAGCAAACTTCAAATTGTGTATCGATTTTATCAAGGTTGCATTTCATGCGTTTGGTATGGGTGGTGGAATTCGCTTTGCTCTGGTTATATTTGGAAGTTCAGCTCAAGTCGTTTTTGACTTTAGCAAATATTCCTCAATCTCAGACGTTGATGCTGCTTTGGCCCAGGTTAGTACTTTTACTGCGTTTATATTCTTTAGTGTAATTAAACATTTTTTCTCTGACTGGAGGTTAGGTTGGGAGGGGCAAATCTTCCTTCGATTATCAAAATCTTAAATAAACATAAAAAAGTTCCTTGTCTATTGACGATTCTTTTAATCAGGTGAAACTCGTTGGTGGTTCCTGCGCTGCCGGTGCGGCTCTGTCCTCTTGTCAATCATCACTTTTTGCCAGCGCTGGAGGGGGTGGAGCCAGTACCAGTTCTTCAAGTGCAGGGGCAAGTGTTAGTGCGCCCCTTCTTGTGGTAATGATGGCCGGGAAGTCCACGGACTCTATTACGAGTTCCGCCTCTGCAATCAAAGAAAGTGGTGTTAAAATACTATGCCTTGGGTTGGGAGGGAGCTATGATAAAGAGCAGATGACCACCATGGCTTCTTCAGCTGAATACTTCCTTTCTGTTTCTACGTTCTCGGGGTTGTCTGGCATTTCTCAGCAGTTTATCGGCCTCATAAGTCAAGGTAAACCTGTTATGTTTTCAATGTGGTCTTATTATGGGCGGTCACTTGTAAGCTATACAACCTTATTTGAAGTACAGACCCTGTTAACAAATTTAGGAAGAACACCGAAAGGGACAGTTCTTGAGGGAAGTTAAACTGGTTATATTGATCTAGTAACTAACTTTCTAAAATCATGAAATCTTTGAATTACACGTGAAAGAATTAACTGGTGTTGATTGACCTCCAAAAACTGAACAATACATAAAAATATTCCTTTTGTTAGCTGGAGGAATATCAGCTAGCGGAGGTAGCAGTGGAAGTAGCAGCGGAACCGCTGGAGGAGCGGGAGCAACTGGGGCTGCTGGAGGAGCCGCAGGTACTTTATTGTGTACACTGTCTAATGTTGAAAATCACTTTTATCTAGGGGCTGTCTCGCAAGAGTCTTGACAACTTTTATTACCAGCCGATTATATGTGATGAGGAGTTTATTTTATGAAGAAATGTATTATCCGTACATCCAAAATCTAGGAATAAGGCGATGAGGATGAGGATAGAAAGATACTTCTAGATCCCCTGTACTCGTATGCTGTTGTATCCTTGAAATGCTTAATGCATCTCTATATTTTGTCTCCCACTAAAGGTTACATAAATTGCAGTGTCCATTGCACTCCTAACTTTAACATGCAATAAAATTCCCGCCCATTTATTTATAATTTCGAGATGAAGGTGATTTTTTTTGTTAAGCAAACAAAGCCATCGCAGTTTTAAAATATATGGATATACAGTGGAGTTTAAAATCGCTATACGGTGTCTTCCACCTGAAACTAGTGATTTTAGCAACAAGCCAGTGACGCACGATTCACATTTTTGTAAAATGTTGCGGCTGTTGAGTTCTAAAGCTTTCAACGTACAGTGGAATTCCGCTGTACGGACACCCCCTAATTCCGACACCCCAGTAAAACGGACAGTTTTCTTTGTTCTAACGGAATCACACATATTTTCTCTAAAATGAACTGCTCATACAGACACCCGTATTTAAGGACATCACGGAAACTTTTTTGTGTCTCGAGTGATAGTTTTAAACATTTTCCCTGTTCACCCTTTTTACCGGTGCAGTCTTTGTTGTCCTTGGTCCTGTCCGTCTTCCCCTTTCTCTGCTTTGGTCTATATATCAATAAAACATGTCTCTCTGACGTTGTTTCCGAGACCCGGTTAATACGGACATCAGGATGATACTGACAACGCGGCATGTCTCATTGTTGTTTGTTTTAAGCGGGTTTTGCCTTACCATGTAATAGAGGTTCTAATCTCTTTCAGCCCAGCCTTCAAAATAATTACAGAATGTTGAGTAAGCTTATCTCAACCTTTAACAAAGCATGATACTCCTTTGTTTGTCAAACGAGAATTGCAGCATCAATTTTATTGACAAAAATGTGTTGAACCGTGCGTTACTGGGTTGAGGGAATACTTCAGCTTCTGGAAACTTGGGTTAGATTGTCAGAAATTTTCATCGATTCATGTGTAACGGTATGCTTAGCCCCTTAACTAAATGCAATAATCACAACAGCTTTCACCTCGGGGAGGAAAAACAGATAAATAAATACCTGTATTTTTTAGTATTCGCCACATTATCACGCCACAATGACAGCAAGTTCCCACAAATTAGTGATGTTTCCACAATCGCGATCGTCAGTCAAACATTTTGGTAAAAATTGTTTGCCACCCTCACGCCTCTTCTCTTCCTGCTGAATCGGTTCTTAATTTGAATATTTATCAAACAATAGCTCCATAACTCGCGCTCACTTTCTGAAAAATAAATTAAGTCTCTACACGCATCTACGGCTTTTGGCTTGAATAGTACTAGCAAGCATGCATTTCTAATCATTTAGGTACCATAATCTTTTCCAATCATTATTCATAGGCCGGAAATGATAGGGATTAGCTAAGTCCGCCAACGTCTATGAAAGTAAGTAATAATTAGCCTGATCCCATGAACAATAGAAATATGTAGTACAAATTGTAGGTACAATATACAGGTAAAGAGGTTGAGGTGTTGCGGTAATACTAGGAGGTGTACGCACAGTGGCAAAACTGTACAGTTTTAACAAATTTGGCAAAATTCATACGATCTCAATAAGCTATTGTAGACGGTATTGTGTGGCGGGTACACATATTCTCTTATTATAAGAATACAATGCATGCACGTGATGTGGTATACATCCGTTAAAAAGAAATTAAAATAAAGTTTGATTGTGAATCCATCGCTTGTGTTTGTTAAAAGAACCAATTCAATTTCTGTAATTGAACAATGTGAAAACTTGAACGACCTGTTCTATGTTGAAAGTGAGACGATAATATGAAATGAACCAGACGCTTTTGCTGTCGTTATTTTTGTTGTTGTTGTACTGTAAGTTCTATGGATCGCGCCGGAAGAAAGGAATTGCTATTATAGTATTCAACATGCCTGCTCGTAGTGACCAACGGGTTCATAACACATCATGAGGAATTTGATGCATGCAGGGTATGAGAGATTGGATAGAATCACCAAAGCATAGTAATAAGAATATAAAAGAAAGTGAAACTGTTTCGCGCTTTTTCAAAGGTGCTGTTGATCTGGCTTTCATGCTCGATGCTTCCAGCAGTATAGGTGGGGAAGCGAATTTCAAGCTATGCCTCCAGTTTATTAAATCAGTTTATTCCAGCTGCACTATCTCATCAACGGCGTACCGAATAGGCCTGGTACTATTTGGTGCTTCAGCATCCGTGTCGTTTGACTTCAGCAAGTACAGCTCAGCGAGTGAAATTGATTCCGCCATTACAAGTTTGACATTGATGGGAGGAGCATGCGCAGCAGGACAAGGCCTAAGCACTTGCCAGGCACAGATTTTTGCCCAATCACGCCAAGAAGCGTCCAAAATTCTTTTGGTGATGATGGCTGGGAAATCAACAGATGACGTATCGAACGTAGCTGAGTCGCTAAAATCGTCTGGAGTCAAGATATTCTGTCTTGGAATGGGAAGTGCCTTTGACAGGACCCAACTTTTAGCAATGGCTTCATCTGAATCTTATATCCAGATACAGGCTGACTATAACCAGCTCACATCGTTGTCGGGCGTGTTTTTATCACTTTTTGGTCAGGTTTCTAGTGGTAAGTAAATTATTTAAGGGCAATAACCAACATTTAAGAGCAAGATAGGCAACTTCTTTCAATCTCAGATGAGCGGTATAAAAGTAAATACTAATGGGAGGGTTGATGGTGACTAAAATACGTCGATATTAGGCATATTAAAAAGATGGGTTGGTAGTCCAGGGTGTGAAAGGTGAACAAAGGCTGCAGACCCATTCAGGTGTCATAATGTAAAGAGTAAATTATTTACTGCTTGGTTTATGTGTCGTTATGGTTTCATCCTCGCTTTACTTTAACCAGTGAACTTGGGTAAGAGCAAAATGTAGCACAAAGCGTGATATTAGCAAATCAGAGAATTGAATGAATTGAAGCATTAATTTTAAAGCAGAAAAGAAAAGATATAAAACCCTTAAGGAATTTTATACATCTGTAAGAAGACAACTAACACCAAAAGTTGGAGATTAAATCAGCACCGACATCATTCCCATGTACAGTAACTCATTGCCGACAAAACTGATCCACCTTAACTTCAACAACATCACCTCTGGTGTGCAGTACCTGGACATATATATCCTATATAACCTTAATTTTAACGCAAACTCTGCTTTTTTAATGATTGAAACAAAGCAGAACTATACAGGATGCGATTCGATGAAGCAGGTGGGACCCAAACGACCAACGTTCCATAAGAAAGCATTGCACAAATCGCACTATCCTTGGACCCAAAGACAGGTCATGTGGCCGAACGCCATAGTAGAATACGCTCTAATCGAGCTAAATCGTAAGGTCTCAAGTGAAAAAATATCGTTCATGAACAAAGAATACAACATTGAAGAAAGGTTTATAGCAATGAAAAAAGAAATGAAACTATATTTCTAACGAGGAGCCTTTGTATCTGAGTTTTTTTCAAATAAAAATGGAATCCAAGCTTTTGCTTATCAACGGCGATGATGCTGTCGATCGGCGAAAGCTTGGATTCCATTTTTATTTATTTATTTATTTTTTAACAAAACAGCAGTTTAAGGCCTCATTAAAACAATATTTTAATTCCAATCATACTGCTGAAGGTGAACAGGTTGTTAAAGGAAGTAAGCCACATAGATCTTAAGGAACAATCCTTCCTATCTGATATCGATAGCATATGGAAATCACGCCTAAAAAATCAGGAATAGAATAGACTTCAAATTAGTCCAGGATCGGAGTAACAGTCATTTAGTTTACCATATTGGAGAGTTCTTAAATATAACTAAATTCACTTCGAAAGAGCACTATTTGAAATCAATAAATACCTGCTAGGATGTCCCCGAAAAATATGACGTATTAAGCCAATACAGAACCTTTCCCTTGGATAGTATGATACGAATTAACAATAGGTGTGAGTTTACCTTCCATCACGTCTTCATCATCTCACCCACGCTGCAAAAATCAACACTCTGGCCAGACCAAGATAAAACAGGACCACTCAGTGCTGCAGTTCACGTCACAAGCTTGAGGCGAAAGTTTCATCAGCTGGAATCGTTTGCCATCTTATTACTCTCACTTCATTCACGAATGGGTGCAGATCATTGTCACCGCCAAAAATAGGTTGCATCTTTACAGGCAAAAGAAAACTGTCTACGGTCGGCAAGAAAACACCTGAACATGCAAAAGCTATAAATTTAAACACCTCGGTCCATTTACAATTTATCATTACAATCAAGTCCATAACTCCGAAAGAGGAAATCACAATTTCAGAATTCATGGGATTATTTCATTCTTCTTCGCACCTGACCTACAGTTTATCGACCGGAATGACCCACATCCCCATGTTCGGGGGGTGGGGGGCAGCCGCCGGAAGCTCTTAGAGTAACAGTTTGGGATCGAAAAGTGGAATACCTGGGTAATCATTTGGAACAGGGAACAATAGCAAATTATAAGGAGTATCCTCATCCGGTTAATTAGGTTTCTATGCCGGGGTCTTGGCAATTTGCAGTCTGTTTGGCTGGATCAGAAAGCAAAGGTAGTCCACCTGCAGGATCTGCATCCACGTCTTCGGTTAAGTGCAGTTGGAGGCACTTTGAGTGGCCGTTTGGGTAAATCTTCAACAGGTAGGATTTCTGTTCCATCAGATTGAACAAGAAACCCTACCAATTCAAACGTGTGAAAGTGTTGCAACGGTAGTTTGAGTGGGGTAAGAAGCACTGGCTCTCAATTATGATTATCTCCATCCGCTTCGTCAGATGGTGCTGTCGGAGGCTATTCGAGTGGAATCATCAACAGGTGTAAATTGTCTACCTAATCCGGTGGAGTAGGGAACACGGTAAATTAATCAGGAGGTTCCACATCTGGTTCTTTAGATGCTGCTGCTTAAGACCCAGCAACTGACAGTTTGGGTGAACCTTCGAGAAGCAGGAAGCACTGGCACTACATCAAGAGGTTCCACACCGTCTTTATTAGTTGGTGGTCGCGGAGGCCCCGTAAATGGCAAATTTCGTTGGTCGTTAAGTGGTGTATCAGGAAGCATTGAAATTCATCAGGAGAACCCCGTTTTGGCTTTTCTGATGTTGCCGCAAGAGGCTCTTCATTAATTGGGTCAGGAGGCATAAAGTCAATAGTTTCAGAAGAATCGTCTTGAGGGACAACTTCAGATGACGTCGCTGGATATTTTACAGCAGGGATTTTAGGATAACCGATATGAGTAGAGAGTGTAAGTGGATAAGATAGGAGGGCCAGAAAAAAAGGAGCATTCATGAGTGGTGGTTTAGGTAGATAAATCTTCAACGGGAACTATTTCAAGTATTTCAGCATGAATGGTTCGTTCAACGGTCAGTAAAGTGCGGGTACTGAGTACGCATTTGCCTATTTCGTTCACCAAGGAATGAATTTCATGGCATATCACACACTTCTTCGTATAAGTAAACAGAGAAACCACAGAGACTAAGTAGCAGTTTATGTTGACGATTTCTTGTGCTTAGAGCAATTACGCGAGTCATGTTAGCAAGTTAAGATTAAATTGAGTTAGTCACGGAGTTTTTAATGTGCTCCCCAAAACTGTATCTGCTTTAAGTGGGATGAAGAATATGTATATTGTTGAAAGTATATACTTCATCACACGTTCATGCCCATACTTGAAGCACACGACCTTTTAATAAGCAAGAGGTGAAATTAACCTAAAGGAAAGATGCTCTGATTGCCACCAACTTATTTACAATTTCATCGCCAACTCCATCCAATGCATATCCCTTCGTTCAAAGAACATTTAGAAATGAAAATAATCAAACACGTTAAAAGGAACTGTGCCTCTTTTAATATTTTAAGGTGTGTGACATATTTCGTGCATTCGTACAGGATCAGTGAATGGATCTGCAGGTGGAGCTGCTGGAGCGTCCACCAGCGGTGTTGCTGCAGGATCTTCGACAGGAGAAGTATCTGGATCATCGGGTTCGGCAGGAGGCACAGCAGGGGGTGGTGCGTCTGCTGGTACAGGTGGGACGGTTGGAGGGTCTACAGGTGGTGGTGGCGCGTCAGGTGAAACAGGAGGAGTAAGTGGCTCAACAGCTGGCGTTACTGGGTCATCGGGAGGAACTGGTAGTACAGCAGGCTCTATGGGTGGCTCTACTAGTGCGGGCACCGGAGGCTCATCAGGATCTACTGCTGGTGGAGGGAATTCGGCAGGTAGTGGTGTGTCTGCTGGTACAGGTGGGACGGTCGGTGGGTCAATGGGGGGCGGTGGCTCGTCAGTTGAAACAGGAGGTATAAGTGGCTCAACAGGTGGTGTAAGTGGGTCATCAGGGGCAATTAATGGTATTTCAGGTGGGACAGGTAGTACAGCAGGCTCTGTGGGTGGCCCTAGTGGGGCTATCGGAGGTTCTTTAGGATCTACTACTGGCGGAGGGAATTTGGAAGGCGGAGGGGGAGCTACGGGCATAGGCGGTATTGAAGGAACAAATCAAGGGGGAGCATCGATTGGGGGCACCGGAGGTGAGTTTACCTTGAGTGGAAAAGATGATTATCTTCACTTGAATGGTAGTAGATATACAATGGATACATGATGAAATTCCTCTGTGTGTCTTGATGATGTATTGGTGCGTGCTTGTTTGGAAGATGAATGAATTCTAGAAAGAAAATAGCATATCAGTAAAGTCAAATAAAATGCTCGCAGAAAGAGCAGATGTGGTCTACAATGCCTTCCTATAAATGTGAATGGACTTTTTCGTCTACGTCGGGAAAGCTTAGAATGAAAGGAAATTTTTAGAGGCCATGCGTAGACCATTGCTCTGTCAGTTAACTCTTAATTGAATTTGCAGATAAATAACCAAATTTGCAAATTCTAAAATAAATGAAGAGTTTTCTTCTTAATCCATGGAATTCCCTGTTATCCTTGGGATTCATTCTGTTGCCCAGGATTTCAAAGGTTCATTTCGCTTTGAATATTTTAATAGCTTCTGGTTCTACACAAAAGCTGTTGCATAGTATAGATCAAAGTTCAATTAATGTGAGTAAAGGAAGGCAGTGGTGTTTACACTCTTACCTCAGTTTTAAAATCCCTGGGAATTAATAACTAAGGGCTGAGCCGACACACGCTCAAATGTGTTCAAGTTGAGGGAAAAAATCGTAATTTTTTTTTGAAAGATAAAACATAAATAGTCAACGAGTCTAGAGGATAACCAGGGCGTTAGAAAAGTAAGAGAGATAAAAACTATGGGGTCAGGTAGGTGTGTACTACGGATTATTTCTTTATTGGCCGCAGCAATTGCAATTATTTCATTGATAAAAATAATGCCCTTCCAAACTCTTGCCATTGCCAGGCATTGCGTGATGTATTCCATCAACTACAGGAAGTTTCTTACCCGCATTGTTAACGGGTGGTCTCAGGGTCCCTGAACGATTCCCACTTCCGCTGATTGCTTGACTTTTTCCCTTACCATGTTTGAGATAGCCAGCCGGTTAACCTCCTGCTTGTTGTCCTTTTGGCCTATATTTTAGTCTATATTTCAGCAAAGATGCATGAGCTCCATGTTATTTCTGATTAATTCCAAATATTTTGCAG